CCCCCCGGGGGGCTGAGGAACAGCAGGCAAGGGCAGGCATGCTAACGGAGCCTGTCATCTCCAGAGTGGTCATTAATTTATGTCATCCTGACCGGGTCACAGGTGCCCATGCTTTTGGTGGAACATTAGTCTGGGGGTGCCTGCGAGTGTGTCTGGGTGAGATCAGCATTTAACTCAGTGGGCTGAATAAAGCAGACTGCCCTCCCCAAAGTGGTGGGCCTCGTCCAATCAGGTGAAGGCCCGACCAGCCCACAAAGGCCGACCCTGCCCCAGGAAGAGAGAGTCCTGGGGACGTGCTTCTCCAGCATCTACTTTCCCTCTGTCCCTCGACCCCACCAGGAGGGACGGGCCTTCCTGAGACTCAGAACGTGGCTCAACGGGGGTGCTGCGTGCTGGTGGGGCCCGGGCACCCCAAAACTGTCTCGTGAACACATGGAATAGAGCCCAGCTTTCCCGTGATGAACGCAGTGTGAATGGGTGTGCAGCGTCCACCCAGTGGGCCGGGCGGCAAGGACCAGCACAAGGCAGAGTGCCTCCGACCCCCGTTCAGACTTCGTCACCTCCCTGCGACTTTCAAACGAGCAGACGAGCCCCTTGAGCTTCGTGGGTGCACACTCACCCTGAGCGGCCTCGCTGGGCATCCCTCTTGGGGTCCGGCGTGGCTGTGCTCCGGACGGCGTGCTGGCTTCCTGCAGAGGAAGGGGGTCACTCAGGTGGCACCCCAGAGTCCCGCCAGGACAGGCCCACGCAGACCCGCGTACCTCGCCACGCCTGAAGAGCAGGGACAGGAGCTGCGCCCCGGGGGAAGCCAGGAGCGTGCACAGGAAACTTGAACCGAGGGCCCCCAGAGGGACACCAGGGGGGCCGACGCCCAGCGGGAGCTGCAGGGACGAGAGCAGTGGTCACATCGCCCGGTCATCCGTGATCTCACGTGCAGTTCGCATGAGCGCACGCGACGTCGCCAGCCGCCTGGCTCCCGCGTCTGGACCGCCCGGCCCGGGACTGGAGGGAGGAAGACCAGAGGGTCCTTTTGGGGTTTTCTGCTGCCCAAACCCCTTTGGACGGGAAAACGTCGGCCGGTGTCACTTCACAGCAGGCACGTCGCGTGCCCGGCCGATTCAGTCCTTGCTACCATCTGACAAGAGGCATCAGCACCCCAAAGGGTCCCCAACCCACAGAGCCGAGCAAGGTCAGACGACTGGTCCACCTCAGAGGCGGCCAGCCTGAGGCTTCCTGACCGCGACCCTCGTCCTGGGTGGACACAGCTGTCCGCTTCCTGGATGACATTCCTCGCCCTGTCCTTACAGACTGTACACGCTTGTCATTCTTTTTAGGAAAGATCTACTGACCCATCGGGGGACCACGCTCACTCCGAACTCCGGCTCCCTGCGGACGCACCACCGAACCCTGCCGCCCAGACGGAGACGGACCCACACCCTCCGCCCCCGGGGCAGGGAACGGCCGCAGGCTGTCGTCAGCAGCCGGCCTGGCTGCTTCTCCTCACCCCGCAGGTCGCGCTGCGAGTTGCCTCAGGAGAGGCAGGGTCTCCGTCCGACCGCGTGGGGACCGTGACGCCAGAGCTGCTGAATGCAAACCGGCGTCTCACGGCCAAGGGTGGCCATCAGAGCTGCTCTCTGTTTCTTTGGTCAGAGGGTTTTTTAAAATTTGAACTGATCGCCAGCCTTTCAAAACAGACACGTTCTTAGAGGGTCCGGGGCTGCCGACTCCCCCGGAGAGCCACGCCCCATGGTGGCGGGCACGGGCTCCCACACGGTGGCGGTCAGCTGAGGCCGAGCCCGCCGTCCCGCACACCCCTCCCGGCCCCGTCACGCCGGCCTCGCGGACATGGGGCCCCTGTCGCCGTAACCTCTCTCCATGCAGTGAGTCTAGTGACTCCTGGGTCAGGAGGGGGCCACGCTGTGGGCCTGGGGTCTGGGCGCCCCACAAGGAAAACCCTCCCACCTGCTCGGGTCCAGCGGCCGTGACCAGGGCGGCCAGGCAGGCGTGGGCGCACAGCACGGTGAAGGTGACGCCGAGGCGAGGCATGAGCGGCAGGCCCCGGCCGGAGGGCGGGCTGTGCAGGGCGCCCCACACGTGGAAGTCCTCCAGGAGCTCCGCGAACCTCCAGCGCAGAAGCTGACCACCGTCACTGGGCCCCGCGGCGTTGGGACACCTGTCCCCACCTGCCGCACCCTCGAGTGTCTGCAAGCGTGAAAGTGTTTCCCACAACGTCTTCCATTACGGAAATAAACGACAGAGGGTTGAAAATGCCCAACGTGCGGGTACTTCAGAGAAGTGGCGCCTGACGGGCCACTGCGCGGCCTCTCAGTGGCGCGGCGTTGGGACACCTGTCCCCACCTGCCGCACCCTCGAGTGTCTGCAAGCGTGAAAGTGTTTCCCACAACGTCTTCCATTACGGAAATAAACGACAGAGGGTTGAAAATGCCCAACGTGCGGGTACTTCAGAGAAGTGGCGCCTGACGGGCCACTGCGCGGCCTCTCAGTGGCGGTTTAAAGACAACTCGTGAAGAAATTTACCCCGAAGTGGGAGATCAGCGTGCGGAATGCGCAAGGATGGTGACGACGACTGCGCTGAGCACGCGCACGCGCACGCAGGACCGGGGCCTGCGCGGGCCGCATTTCGGCGTCCGCGTGTGCGATGCTGGGGGTTCCGTCCTTTCTCACGCCCCGCCCTCTGCCTCAGCACGCTGTGCTGTTCCCCGCCCGTCTGGGTTGTTCAGGTCTGTCCGGGACCCTCGGGAGTCCTTAACCAGTGAGCCCGAACGCCTCAGACCACGGGCAACCATGCATTCCGCAATGTCGTTGTAATCACAATCGAAAGCAACGAATAAGCGGACAGGCAGCGCGTCCGCATGTGGCCGCCACCGCACGGATGCGTCTTTGAAGACTGGCCACCTGCTGTAACTGAGAACGGACAAGGCGACTTCGCAGACGTAAGGAGGCCACAGCCGGGAGGAGCAGGGCCAGGCGCCGGGTCCTGCCCGTGGTCTAGGGGTGTCGCACGGGGACACGGGGCCACCTACCTTCCAGAAGCCGAGGCCCTGGCGCAGGCAGGCCAGTTCCCGCGCCACACGGCCGTCCTGCCTGTCCGCGGCCAGCCAGCACTCGGCGGGGAAGAGCCAGCTCCGTCCCGGGCCTGCGAGCAGCTCCCCCACCATCACGCGGCTGACGTACCAGGCGGGCGAGGGCCCGCGGCTGTCGTGCCACAGGCGGATCTTCCGGAGCAGGCCCAGCGGGGCTGGGGTGCTGGGGACACACATGCAGCACCTCGTCAGCCCGGGGGCGGCGGGGACACGTCGACCAAGGAGCCCCTCGGGCTCGTGGGAGAGCAGACTGTGAATTCTCGCCTGCTGCATGCGTCACGTGACACGGGGCCCCTGGCGGCTCTTCCCAGACCCGGTCCACTCGGGCCGCACGGCGTGTCGGGGGCTCGGCAGAGGGCCGGGGTTGACCCTTCTGTCCGATGAAGACGCGTTACCCCAGCCGATGAGCATCACAAACGGGTGCACAGGGGGAAAGACACACGCGCTCGGTTCCTTCCGTTTACTGGGGACACCGGGTGCGGGTGCTCCTGACGAAGGTCCCTCTTCCCCAGCCCCCCACCTCTGCATTCCCACGTGTCCTTGCTTTTCCAAATTTGGGATGAAACTAATTAATTTAAGCAGGTTTAATGACATAGAAATGCTGTGATTTCAAAAGAATGAAACTAAACTGCTAGCTGACACCAAACACAAGCATTTACTCTAACTGGATTAAAGACCTGAATTCGAGATCTGAAATCATAAAATATGTAGAGAAAACAGGTACTATACTTATGGATGTTGGTCTCTGAGGGATTTTTGTCAACTTGGCCCCAAAGGCACAGGGAAGTAAAAGCAAAAATAAACGTCATGGGACTCCATCAAACTAAAAAGCTTCTGCAAAAACAAACAAACAAACAAACAAAAACAGCAACCAAAAAAAAAAAAAACCAACAAAACAAACCAACAACAAAACAAAGAGGCGACCAGCTGAGTAGAAGGAGATATTTGCAAACAAGATCTCCAACAAGGGGTTAATACCCAAAATATGTAAAGAACTCATATAACTCAATTAAAAATCCCTAACGATCCACTTAAAAAACGGGCAGAGGACCTGAACAGACACGTCTCCCAGGAAGACATGCAAACGGCCAACGGACACATGAAAAGATTCTCAGCTTCACTAGCTGTCGGGCAAATGCAGATCACAACCCCAGCGAGATGCCATCGCACACCTGTTAGCACGGCTGTCGCCAACAGGACACGTCGCAGCCGTGTGGGAGAGGTCGTGGGGAGCAGGGAACCTCCTGCACTACAAACTGGTGCAGCCGCTGTGGGCGACAGTTTGAAGAGTCCTCAAAAAATGGAGAACAGAATTACCATGTGACCCAGCGGTCCCCCTTCTGGGTATCTACCCAAAAAATGCGAAAACTTTTATCCGTAAAGACGGATGCGCCCCGATGTTCACCGCCGCGTTATTCACGGTGACCAAGACACGAAAACAACTGAAGTGTCCTATGATAGATGAGGTCCACGTGCACGATGGAATACGACTCAGCCATTGAGAGGGAATCTGAGACAACGGAGATTATCGTGCTGAGCAAAATCAATCAGACAGGAAGAGCTGAGAACCACACGATTTCACTTACATATGGAGGTAAAGCTGGAAGAAGCAAACGGACACGGGAGACAGACTCACGGACTCAGACAACGTGACCAGAGGGACGGGGGAGGGGCAAAGGGGTCAAATGGTGACAGAGGAGACCAGGGTGGCGCCCTGGCCCCCCCGCCAGGCCCCCAGTGTCCCCAGCATGCGACGCGGGGTACAGATGCTGTGTCATGGAAGCGTACACGCAAATCTTACACAATCTCATTAACCAACGTTGCCCAATAAATTTAATTTAAAAAAGGATGGAAAAAACCCACGAATATGAGAAGCAGTCACTCGGCACAATCTTTTTTATGCTGTTTTTCAAATGAGAAAACCGATTTGCATGAGCACAGACTAAAAGCTGATTCTAAAAACAACTAAATGAGTATCACTCTAGATAGTTCCAGACACGTAGACACTGTTGGTGTTGAAATTTACCAATAAAGAAATGAGATTATAAAGCTTTTGGGGGCAAAAAAAGAAAATGGTGCGATCACGGATTTTACTGGCTCAAATCGACTCAGCCCTGCGTCCCCTGCTGGCCGGCTCTGTCCCCGCACAAACACGCACAAACACGCACAAACACGCACAAACACGCGCAAACACACACAAACATACACAAACACACTATTTCCTCCCACAGATAGCGGCCTGGGAGGATACTGTGTGGGACCATGCGTGCAGGAGGCTGCTCCCTCCCGGAAAGTCGGGGCTGGCGCCCCCGAAGTTGTCCCCGCCTACCTGAGGATGAACGTGGTTCTGGAGTTCCTCTGGAACAGGGCCCGGTCCGGACAGTGGAGCTCTCTGGGCCCCGAATGGCCGTTTTCCCCACACAAAACCATGTACACCTGAAATGAAGACACGGGGCGTTCGCAGTGCTGGACGCAGGACGCCGGTGTGCT